CTGACCCGGGGGACCACCGGGGGGGATGGGGGGCTTTCTTGCAGCCTATCCCCATGCACCTGTGCCAGGGCACGTGGTAGTGGTGGCTGGGGGGCTGTGCCAGGACTGTGCCGGGCTCCTTCCCAGAGACGTGTCCCCCTCTGCTCGACGAGGCACCAAAGCAGGCTGCCCCCAGGCCACGGCTTGGTGGGTGCATCTGTGTGTCGGGGGGGGGCTGGGAACGGGGCAGCTGGCCACGCGGTTTCTGTGACAACGGGCTGTGGGAAAGGTCCGTGGAGCGCAGGGACGGACGGGGTAGCTGGAGCCGCACCAAGGCTGGGGGCTGGGGGGCCTCCTGGCACCGGGGGGTGGGATCCGGCGAGCTCCCCCAGCCTGGTGCGGGGGCTGCGGGGTCTGGGCAGGCCCCGGGGGTGGCCTCTATACCGGGTGCTGCTGCCGCTGGCAAAGGGGGCTGCTCACTTGGCCTGAAAGACTCTGGTCCAAACCCAGAGTGTGCATGTGCATCTGCATCTGCATGTGTGTGCGTGTCTGTGTGTGAGTGTACATGTGGCTGCATGCATGTGTGGGCATGCGTACGCATACATTTGTGTAGGTGTGTACGTGAGTCTGCATGTCTGTGTGCGCACGCACACATGCATGCATTTTTATGATGTGTGTGTATACATCTGCATGTGTGTGCATGTGTGCGCAAATGTGCATATTTGCATGTGCATGTGTGTGTGTAGGCACGTGTCTGTGTGTGTGCACATGTGCATATGCATGTATGTCCATTCGTGTGCGTGCATGTGCATGTGTATGTGTGCAGGGCTGGGGGACACAGGAGCCTCCCCGGAGCCCTTGAACAGGCAGGACCCTGGTACCGCATCCTTGGTGCCTCCCATCTCCCGTCTGCCTTTTAGATGGTTTCCCAGCACCCCCTGCCCTGGCCTGTGTCACATGGCACCCGCGCCGCGTGGCTCAGGTCCCTCCGTGGGGCTGTTCTGCCTGGTGGGTAACAACGTCTGCCCGCTACAAGCCTGCTCTGTGACTCTGATGTGTGGACGTGGCGGCGCCAGTCCAGACCCCAGCTGGGCCCTTGAAGCCCATGAGGCTTGGGGGGCCGACCCAGAACCCCCCGGGGCAGGAGGCAGCTCAGCCTGGGCCAAGTCTGGCTGGTGCGTCTCTCCGCTGCCCGCAGGACTCATTGCAGCCACCTGATGCCGGCCCCACGGCTCAGGGCTGAGAGGCCAGGGCTACAGAGCTGCCGGCAGCAGAAAGGGGGTTTGCAAGGGAGTGCGACAGTGTTGGCCCCTTCGGACCCCCACGGTGGGCAGGGGCTCTGGGCCGTTAACCTCTTCCTGGCCGCAGGCTCTTGGCGGCCTGGTGGGACTGCACCCTCCAGGGTCCCCTGGGCTCCCCCTGGGCCTGGGGTTGCCCGGCGCTGTGGGCACCAAGGGGGTCTGGGGTCTCCCACACCCACCTCCCCCCCGCTGCAGGCAGAGGGGCCCCAGGCAGCAACCCAGAGCCAGGCATAGAGAGCCCCCCCGGTGCTGCCTCCAGCCCTGCCCCCCGCCCCGGCGGGCTTGTGCAGCCACCACGGGCATCCTTTGTCCTCGTGCAAACCCGAACTAGGCGCCGGGAGACAGCACGCACCGGCGGTTGCTAGGTGACCCCCTCTGTGCCCCCCCCCCCAGCCAGCTGACACGGTCGCATCTCGGTGACAGATGGACGGGAGTGGGGGGGGAGGGGAGGACAAGGCGAGGCAGCTGGGCTCTGACAGCAGGTCCCGGGGGAAGGGGCCGGGGGCTCCTAAGGGGAGAAGGAACTGGGGCTGGTCCTCACTGGAAAGTCTTTGTCCCTGTTGGGGGGAGGCAGGGGGTGCCAGGGGCTGGGGCTCGCCCTAGGGTCCTGGTTTTATTTGCCGTGCACGGACCACGTACAGGCAAGGCCCCTCGGGCTGGGTCCGTAGCCCAGCCATGAGCCCCCAGCTCCCAGGGGTTTCTCTTGGAGAGGGCCCAAGTGGGAGCTGTGCAGCTGCTTGCAACAGCTCCCCACGTGGCAACCTACACTACAGAGCCGCCGAGGAAGGAGCGCAGCTGCAGAGACCAGCCACGCTCCCGCTTGGCTGCAAGGCACGGTGCCACCCCGTGGCCCCGCCACCTCTGGAGGGCCCCCATCCTTTTTCCTCTGGCCCCAGTCAGACGCCTGGGTCCCGTCGGGGCTCGTGGCCAGGGTCCTGCCTGCTCACGGTGGGGGTTTTGCCCCGGCAGGGAAGTTCAAGCTGCTGGACCAGGACCGGGACGTGCGGGAGCCCGTGCAGTATTTCAACAGCGTGGAGGAGGTGGCCAGCACCTTCCCAGACCGCGTCTTCGTCATGGAGGCCATCACCTTCAGCGTGAAGGTCGGCACGGGGTGGGCGAGGGCAGGGTGGCTGCGTGGGGCCTGGGGACCCCCCGTGAGCTGGACCCACGAACCCCTCTGAGCCCCTTGCTGCCCTGGGGCTTCCTGGTTACCCCCACCACTAGGCCAGGCTGCCTCAATGGCCCTTTTTAACCCCTTAGTGCCCTTGGGATGCCCAGCCTCCACCTCCCATTTAACCCCTTGCTGTCCTGGTAGCTCCCGGCCTTCACAGAGACCCTGTTAACCCTTTGCCGCTCTCCTGCCTCCAAAGAGGGGGACCCCCTCCTGCCCCCCCAGCCCCCGTTTAACCCCCGGCTGCTCGTGCCGCTCTGCAGGTGGTGTCAGGGGAGTTCAGTGAGGACAGCGAGGTGTACAACTTCACGCTGCATGCGGGGGATGAGCTGACGCTGATGGGCCAGGCCGAGATCCTGTGCGCCAAGGCGGGCAAGGAGAAGTGGCGCTTCAACAGCCTGCTGCGCAAGCTGGGCCGGGCGGTGCCGGCCACGGGCCGGGCGGCCAAGGGCAAGATGCCGTGCCTGATCTGCGTGAACCACCGCACCAACGAGAGCCTCAGCCTGCCCTTCCAGTGCAAGGGGCGGTTCAGCACGCGCAGCCCGCTGGAGCTGCAGATGCAGGAGGGCGAGCACACCATCCGCAGCATCATCGAGAAGGTGCGGCTGCCCGTCAACGTGGCCGTGCCCAGCCGCCCGCCCCGCAACCCCTACGACCTGCACGCCATGCGCGAGGGCCACTGCTACAAGCTGGTCAGCATCATCTCCAAGACCGTGGTGCTGTGCTGCATCCTGCGCCGCGAGGCCGTGGCCCCCTTCCACTTCTTGCTGCTGGCCGACATGCCCCGGTTCCTGCTGCCTGAGGCCGGCGGGGGCGACCCCCAGCTAGACAAGCTGCTGCGGGACAGCGCCGCGCTGTGCCAGGAGCGCTTCGACCCCGACGAGTACTCCAAGGCCGTGCGCGAGGCCCGGCCCGACTTCTCCGAGGAGTGCGCCAGCCCACGGCGCCTCCGCCTCTGCCTGCAGGGCTACGGCCAGCCGGACCTCGGGCCGCCCCTGCAGCGCCTCTCGCTCTGCCTCTACGGCGGCGCCTTGCTCCACAGCCCCGACAGCCCCGAGCCCCTGGGGCCGCCCCACTCGCTTCTCCTGTCCCGCCGCGAGCCCCCCGGCTTGGCCGAACCGCTGGATGCGGAGCGGGAGTACGTGACGCCCGACTGGGCCGAGCCCGACTTCCGGACGCCGGAGCCGCTGGAGATCCCCTACGAGGAGCTCTGGGCCAACCAGGCGCCCGAGAGCTACGCGGAGCCCAGCGCCAACCTGCCGGGGCTGGGCTGTGCCGGGCTGGGCCCGCGGGACCTCATCTCCTTCGGGGCCGGGTCCCCGCTGGCCTCGCCTCGCCGCCCCCGCGTGCCTGGGGACGCGCCCCCCCCCGTGCCGCCCAAGTCAGAAGCGGTAAGAGACTCCCGGGGGCTGGGACCCCCTGCCTGGGTTGTGGGATCGGGAAAGGACAGAAGACGAGGGTGGGAAGGGACCTCGGGAGGTCACGTCTAGTGCAAACAGGGCCAGCCCCAGCTACATCCCCCCAGCCAAGGCTTTGTCTAGCCGGGGTTCAACCCCTCTAATGATGGAGACTGCACCGCCTCTCTGCAGAGCCTGTTCCAGTGCTTCACCACCCTCCTAGTGAGAGGTTTTTTCCTAATATCCAGCCTCAACTTCCCTTGCTGCAGCTTGAGCCCATTGCTCCTTGTTGTCACCTGCTCCCACTGAGAGCAGCCCAGCTCCATCCTCTTTGCAGCCCCCCTGCAGGGAGGTGAAGGCTGCTGTTCAATCCCCCTCGGTCGTCTCTTCTCCAGACTAAATCAGCCCAGTTCCCTCAGCCTCTCCTCACCAGTCCTGTCCCCCAGCCCCACAGTCATTTTTATTGCTCTCCACTGGACTCTTTCCAATGTGTCCACAACCTTTCTGTTGTGGGGGCCACAGCTGGACACAGGACTCCAGATGTGGCCTCCCGAGTGCTGAATAGAGAAGAATCACTGCCCTCGACCTGCTGGCACCGCTCCTCCCGATGGAGCTGGGGATGCATCAGAGTCCCAGAGCCGTGGGGCTGCGGGGAGCTCCAGGAGCAGGCTCAGTCCTGCCCAAACCACCTGAGATCCATTACCTAAACTCCATGCAAGACGACCATCAGCCCCGACAACACCAGCCATCACACCCGACCCCGCCACGGGGAACGCAGCCAGCGTCCTGCTGCTATGAAATGTTAATAGACGCTCAAGAGATCCTGAGCAGAGGCCGTGGCCCTGGTGCAGAGGAAGGAAAACCTTGTAAAACTGCCCCCAGTCCAGACCAATCTGACCAGGGGGCAAATCTCTTCCTGCCCCCAGTGCAGCATCGGTCTGACCTGAGTACAGGGGCCAGACCCTTCAGGGGTCCACATGCAGGGGCGAGACCCTCCAGCCAGGACCCTGCGGGGTTGGTGCCAGCAGGAGCATTGGCCCAGCCCAGCCCCATCCCCAGCTTGGGCTGCAGCTGGCACCAGCGCCTCGGGGGAGGCTTAAAAGCCGGGTCAGCCTGGTTCTGCCCCTTCCCCCCGGCCCCTGTGGCTTTGCACTGGGGACCCCAGAAGCAGCCGCTCCCAAATCCCACCCTAGACAGTGGGTGCTTGGCCCTGCCCAGCCCACCCTGGGGCAGGTCTGTGGGCCCGTGCTGTCCTTTGGGGGAGACCCGGCTTGGGGAGCCCAAACCCCGCAGCAGCAAGGAGCCCTGGTACCCCCGGGCAGATGCAGGGGCAGCTGGACATGGCCTGTCCCGCAACTACCCCCAGGCCCACGCTGGGGGGATTTCCTTGCTGACCCCCACCCTGTCCCTTTGGCAGGTGAAGGAGGAGTGCCGCCTGCTCAACGCGCCGCCCGTGCCACCCCGGGGCGGCCGCCTGCACGCTGCCCCCAGCCCGCCCGTGCCCCTGCGCTTCCCCAAGCTCCCGCCTGCCCAGTCGCCCAGCCCCAGCCTCTCCTACTACTCCTCCGGGCTGCACGACGTGTGAGTGACGGCGGGGCCCTGGGGGGCGGCGGAAGGGGCCCAGCTCTTGCGTGGGGGGCGGCCACCCAGCACCTACATCCCTGGCCCCCCTGGGTAACCCTCTGCTGCCCCGGGCAGCTGAGCAGGGGGGCTGGAGCGGGGCAGTGCTCCGGGAGAGGTGGGCCCTGCCCTGGGGGCCCCGCCAGCACGGGCGGCCCCAGCGCCCACAAGCCAGGCCTGCAGGATGGAGCCCCGTCCCCGGGGCGCTGGGACGTGGCCTCAGCCCCTCTGCAGAGGGAGGCCCGTCCCTGGGGTCGTCTGAAGTCGAGCACAAGGCAGGGAGGCTGCACCTCGTTAGATGAACCAAAGTCCATTGATTCTTCCTCTCTCTCTTTTTTTTGTTTTCTTCTTTCTCTTTTTCCTTTTTTTCCCCCTTCTTTCCCTCTTTCTTTTCTCTTCCTTTTCTCTCTCTCTCCTTGTCTGCCTGCCTGCCTGCCTGCCTTCTCTATAGAGATACACGTGTATATATAGATATAGCTGAAGTGCACTTCATCTGATGCTGTGAATGTGCGTGCATGAAGCAGGGTATAAGGAAAGAAATGTAAATATAAGGACGAGGGGGAGAGAGGGGCAGGCAGTGCTGGGAGAGGCAAACAAGCGAGCGATAAACCCATAGGCACAAAGCGGCCGGCAAAGCTCAGCCAGGTAATGGGATAGGAAGCCATAGTCCCTGTTTAAACCGTGCTTGACAGCCCAGCCTGTGGCCATGCCGCCAGGTCTGGCTCAAGTCAGTGGTGGAAGGGTCTCCGTCTAAGACCAGCTGCCTCGAGGTCAGTGAGGGGGTGTCCAGGGAGGTCGAGGTGTCGTCCCCCAGCCCACGTGTCTTTTGGCAGCTGATGTCTGTCCCAGGTAGACGGCTGCGGGACCCTGCGAGCAGGGGAGGGCGTCTGTGATGCTGGGAGAGTCGCAAGCGAACGGCCCGCGCCGGTCACAAGCAGCGGTCCGGTGCCGCGACACCGTGGTCTGCGTTGTGCTGCGCAGCCGCTTCGGTTTGTCTCTAAGGTGCAAATCGGCCCTGCCTGCGACTCGGCGTCTCTGCAGCCGGGTGCGCAGCCTGGCAGGGTCCCTCCTGCCAGGACACCCCCCTCCAAGCCGATGCCACCCCTGGGGCCCTGGCTGTGCTGTGCCAGGCCCCCCGGTAGCTCTCACTTTCCCCCCTGGCAGGTCGGGCCCACGGAGCGGGAGCTGCTCCCCCTCGCCGGACTCCTACTCCCTGTACTGCTACCCCTGCACCTGGGGCGACTGCAAGGCCGGGGACTCGTCGGGCCGGCCGCTGCCGGGGGCCCTGCCGCCAGCGGCCCCCACCTCGTGGTCGGACCCCTGGGCCTATGCGGACGCGGGCCCCAGCGTGGCCAGCGGGCGCTCCACGCCCCTGCTGGGGGGCGAGGCCGGGCTCAAGACCTACCACAGCTGCCCCCGCCTCAAGCCGCCCCATGGGCAGAAACGCTTTGCCCCCTTTGGAGCTCTCAACCCCTTCTCCAACCCGGCCTATTCGCCCAGCCCCTCTGCCTCCTCTGCCGACTGGCTGGACACCCTGGAGTGGCAGAAGCCGCCCGCGGCTGCCTCCCCGGAGACCTTCACCTCCTTCGAGGCCGGTCCCAGCAGCTCCCCGGAGCCGGAGCCACGCTATGGAGCCGGGGGGTCCGGCCCGGCGCCCCCGCCGCGGCCGCCCAAGGACTTTGAGGCAGAGAACATCGTGATTCGCAGCACGGCGCCGCTGTCGCCCACCATCGTGCGGGGCGCCGAGGGCGGTGTCACGCGTGTCTACCTCACGCAGGGCGTCATTGAGGTGCCGCCTGCCTCGGCACCCCGCTGCAGTGCGGGCGAGG